AGGAAGGATGCTCGAGTGGGCCTGAAGCAGCTCTGAAGTCAAAAGGTGGCACTTTCATTTCGGGCCACAGCCCTCCTTTACAAGAGCAGCTCCCATGACAGACCTTCCATGCTGGACGCTGGACTCACTTGCAGAAGGCCAATTTCAGTGCAAAGAATCCTTCACGCCTTGGGCAAAATGGCATTTCCTCAACTGAAAGAAAGGAAGCTCATTCCTTTATTCACTTCCCTTTTCTACACAAAACATCCTCTAGCTTTAATGCCGGCTTTTGACTTTTTTTCCCCCATTCGCCCTCATGCACTAGGATGATAGGTCTATTTTCAGCCTTCTGCGTCTCTCTCAACATGACCTTCAGAAGGTGTACAAGGTTGCCAACTTGTTTTGACCAGGAATTATTTGATACTGTACTGCGAAATTTCAATGTGTACAATTCTTTTTTCTTCCAGAAGAAGAAACCATGCTGGTGTGTAGAAATTTACCAGGGGCAGTTTAAAAAGTGGCACGAGAGCAGCTGGAAAGACCAACTCTACCTGAAATATGATTTGTAGAGTCACAATCTGTTCAGACCAGGCCTGCACTCATGTTACCATTTATGAGTTGGAACAGGGCTGTGTGGGGCAGCATGTCATTCCCATTAAATGTTGGAATGGAGCTAGAAGCTAGGTCTCCTGCACCTTTAAGAGTTGGGCACCAGGAGGGTTTTCAGAGCATGTAGCTTGTCATGTAGAGACCTGCTGAAATGCCTTCTTTGGCATGAGTACTACGGCCCCAGGGGTCCCATCTGCTTCAGTCCAGAGTCAATGGCTGCCTCCAACTGCGTGCCCAACAAACATGGGGGTAGATAGCATCTACCCATGACCAGTCCAGACTGAGGCCTTCTGTGATCGTCCCAGCCTTCAAGGCAGCTGGCCAAGCTGGCCCTGGTTCATGTCAACTCTCAAAACCAAAGACCCAACTGCAAAGACCTCCAACCAAACCACTGCCCAGGCTCTATCAGTCCTCAGTGAAATGACCCAGCTCTTCAAGGGTTGCTAGAACCCTCAGTCTGATCCAGCAGAGTCTTCATGCAAAGTCATGCAGTGGTCCCAACCTGCATGATACTGAGCACAACCCTTGTGAGAAGAGACAGCCCCCTGCAATGGGTGCACCCTTATAGCCTCCTAGAGAGGGGCCTGTCCATGCCATTCTACTGCAAGCGGCTGCCCCACAGCAGTGGGGAAGGAGAACTAGGCTATTGGCCTACTTATCTCCCCAGAGTCAAATTATATTGCCTGAAAAGCTATGTGCTAGTTGAGCAAGTTTGCCCCTAGAAGCTAAGGAGGTTGCTGTAGGCCTCTACCCTCAAGACATCTTTAAATTAACATTCATTGATAGAATTTAAAAACAGAAATAACACTAAGGTTCATATTCCTAGGATGGCCTTAGTATGCATGCCAAGTTTCCAGTGTCTAGGCTATTCAGTCTTGGCTCTGATGAATGCACAGACAGATACACATCCTCTTATTATAGATAAAATGAATGTGTTTTCTTAATGCCTTCGCTGGCAAATGGAACTTATTGTGCAGCAGAGCTTAATCTGGAAACAGAAACCTGGATGCAGCACAAGGACAATTTAGTTTAGGCAAACAATAGCATGAAAGAGATACTGGAGTGTGAAATGCATGGTCAGCTTCTGTCTGGTCCAGGACAAGGGCAGCTGGTATCTGCAGGTAGAACCCAGGACCATGGATGACGGAGGTCTCTAAAGAATGCAGGAAGACCCAAGACAGGAACAAGCAAGGGTCCGACACCAAGAAGGCTTGGCAGATCCAGAGGCAGTCGAGGCCAGATGCCAGCACGGCAAAGCATAGCCAAGAGCAAGGCAAGGTCAGAGAGAACAAGGGACCGAGGGACAGGTGCCTGGCAAGGCATAGTCAGGCTGGAGACAAGGGCAGAAGCAAAGCTGGCAGGAGACCTGGTTCATGAGCTGGACGAGGAGCAGGGGCGGGCACTCAGTGTGGCCACCACCAAGGCCCGTCTTGCACTCTATGGAGCCTTCCAGAACTCCCAGCTGCTCTGCAGGACCACCAGGCGCCCGTCCTTGCAGGAAAGAGCAGGTGTACTGCAGGCTCTTGTAGGGCGAGCCACGCTGTTCATCACCAGGGCAGCTGTGTCCCAGATTCGAATCCTGATACCTTCAGTGTCCACAGAGAACTGGGTTCAAATTCTCCCCTGCACACCCTCCCTGGATGTTGCTCACCATTGCTGTGAAAATGACATAGAGGTGCCACATGTGATGCCCTGACTTCCTTGGGGGATGGGTGGCATATCACTAAGGTTTATAAGTCAAACCGCCTTCATCCATTCCTATTCATAGAAACATAGAAACAGAGTGAGTCAGAAGGGGCCTGCCGGGCCATCTAGCCTGACCCCTGGCTCAAGTAATAGCAGCATCCACCCAGCCAATACAACTTCTTTTACTGTGAATGGGATGTGTGGCTCTATCCTACCCTGAGCGGACTTAGGATTGCAGAACAATCCTATACGTGTTGGATTGGGTATGGAATGGGCTTCCATGGGAGGTGGCTGAGGCCCCACCGGTGAGAATAGGCTAGACATGCACATAGTGGGCATCTCGTGAGTGGAGCCGGCTGGAGCCGGGGGTCAGACTAGATGGCCTGCGAGACCCCTTCTGACTCGCTCTGTTTCTATGTTTACGTAGCAGTACATCCCTCTGTGCTCAGCTGGAGATCACTCCCCAGTAAGAAGATAAGGGAGCAGAAGAGGAAAATTCCCACCTCTGATTGTCTTTCAGAGGACTGCTCTCTGCAGACCGCTTTTAATTTTAATTTCTATTGCTTAGGTCATCTTTTTTTAAAATTTAGAACCTCGACCGTTTTAGCATTGAACACTGAATACAGCCCTTCTTTTCACACTTCTGCCCTGCTTTTCTAAATAAGGGTTCAAAACACACACACACACCATATACTGTGGGTGGATTTGTTTCTTGTGGTTTGGTTTGAGGTGCTACTTGCTGGAGAGGGGCGTGTGCGGAGGGAGGTGAGGATAGTCTACAAAACCAATCCACCCCAGGCCTGCATCTTTGGACTTGCGGTGGCGCTTTGAAGCCCCAGCACAGCTTTGAGACTCTCTTAGAGGAAATTGCCCAATGATTTATTTCGACATTCTGTCTCCCAGCTGCTCAATCTGCTGCCACCACAACGTACTAACAGAGAGTGCCTGTGGGTAAATTCAGGCATAGGATGTATTCATTTATTCTGATTCTGCCCAACAGCCGAAGCTGTCCGAACAGGGAGCAGCACAAGGAAATCAGTGAAACCAATGTTGGGGGTGCTTCCTTAGGCATCTGTGGGGAGCAACCTCTCCTTCCCCTCTCATTAATACACTTTAACCCACAGCATGTGTACAAAGTGGATACAGTAACAGATTCGCCTGCCTTTATTTCAGAGGCTGCGAGGCTCTTGGTTTTGCGGCAACCAGTGATGGAGAGGGTGATGTTGAGACGCAGGTGCTCGTCATGGGTGTCCACAAAGCTGCACCCACAAGGAAAATCCCAAAATGCAGACAACTGTGTGGAGCTGTATCAAGACACCAGTAATCCCCAGCAGGAGCGGCTCTTTTCTCACTGGAAAGAAACCTAAGACACCACCTTGTTCACATCTGGACAGAAACAAGTCTTGGAACTCCCCACATCCCTCCAACCAGCCTTGTTGTGCAGGCATTCTGGGAACTGTAGGACTCTCTAACATGCACCTAAAATTGCCCATTCAAGACCAAACTGGCCCTGAATATTTCGCATTTCAACAGAGAGCAATATATCGCTGCTGGGAGAATCTGTTTCAAACCCACTGCTGCAAAGCTCTGGAAAAACAGGAATGTCTGTAGAGGGGGTGGCTTCGGACATCAGTCTCCCTGACAAAAATGGTCAGAGTTACGTCCTCATGTGCTCTGACTCTTGAACATCACTGCCTGCAACAGCCTATTCTGGCTAAACTGCTGGAAAATGCATTTGAAAATTGGGGCCTGCAGGGAGCTGATGCATGTGGCTAAACTGGAAAGCAACCCAGAAGTAAATTTGAGTTGTAGGATTGCTGGAACTTGTTGGATTTTTTTCCTGTATAAAAATGTGTTGGATTCCCTCCTAAATAGATTCTCCTGCTTCTTCCAGTTTGTTCCCATCAGCTCTGGCTCTTGAGTCAACCTCTCTCTCTCTCTCTCTCTCTCTCTCTCTCTCTCTCTCTCTCTCCCCAATGTGTCACTCCCTCCCCATCCCTCCCCACTTCAGACTGGTTCAGCCCCTGCCAGGAACCTCACTTACTTCCACCAACAGAGTCCAGAGAATTCACACGCACTGTGTGGATACGAGTTTTGCCCCTGAATGAGCCCAGCTGTACCCCTTGCGTGCCTGAGGGCCACAGCTGAGGAAGTCTGGTCTCCGTGGCGGTGTAGTGAGAGGGGCCATGGCTCAGAGGGGAAAGGCTGCAGTTCAGGTATAACAGAGCCCCCGCACTTGGCATGTCCCAGATCCAAGCTCCATCCTGCCCGGGTAGACCTGGGAAAACTGCCTGGAGCTCTGAAGAGGCACTGCCAGTCAGTGTCCGCTGCACTGGCTTAGTCACCAAGGGTCTGACTCAGTGGAAAGCGGGATCTGCTCTTCCTCCCTTCCTATTATTACAGCTAAGGGTGGGATCCTATGCTTCTTTCGAGAGGCGGAAAAGTCCTACAACCCCCAGGCTGGGAGATCCTGGGAGCTGTGGGACTTCTCTTTTGTCTAAACCCGTGTAGGGTTTGCCCTAAAGCGACTGCTCCCAGTATCCCCACCGACGCCAGTTCATGCATCCATCTCTCTCGCTTTCTCTTGCCCCCCCACGCCCCCAGGAGGGTCCAACCCATGCCGGGCACGTCACTTCCTCGCAAACTTTCCCGAGGAAATGTCTTTGCAAAAGTTGTTTTCCTCCCAAGCATCGAGGCTGCGGGGCTACGTCCTCGCCCTCTGAGCGTGCGGGCGGCCAAGCCTCGCCCCCCTCCCGCTTCGCCTCCTCGCTTGCTCCTCGCTCTCTTGCTCTCTTGCTTCTTCTTTCTTTCCGGCTTTGCATGTCAGGCTTCCTGTGCTGGTCGCCGCACTCCAGCTCGCCCTCGCCATGGACAGGCTCCCCGACAAGGGCTGAGGCGGAGGGACCGTTGCGCCGGGGAGGGACCCGCCAGGCGCTCTGCTCCGGGGCCCGCCTCGCTCTCGGGCGGCCGTCCCTCCGGCGAAGCGGCGCGGGCGCGCTCCTGTGCCCCGCCTCGGGCGGCCGCGGCGCTCGCCTGGCCCCGGGGCGCTCGCCCAGCTGAGCCATGGCCAGCGACTGCGCCGCCAGGAGCCTGGACAGCATCGACCTGGCCGCCCTTCGGGTAAGTGGCCCGCCCGAGCTGGGGTGGGGGCGGCTGGGGGCGCCCGGCTGCAGCAGCCCCCTCGGGCCGGGCCGGGCCGGGCTGGGCCGGCGCTCGCCATCCCAGCGCGCCCGAGCCCCGTGGCTGAGCCGTGCAGAGCCCGTGGTCTCCCTCCCTCCGGCCGGACCAGACGTTCTTGACCGACGGACGGATGGGCTGAGCCCAGAAGAGGAGCCCTGCTGGGCCAGGGCCGGGCCCCATGCAGGCCAGCACGCTGGCCCTGCAGTGGCCGACCGCTGCCCAGGAGGCGCCCACAAGCCGCGCTGGAGCGCAGGAGCACCCCCTGCCCATGTTCCCCAGCCACACGCCACCTTGAGGGCGGCCTCCAAAGTTCTAAACTCGCAAAGAGTTAAAGGCACCGCCTTGAGACACTTCCCCTGCTTCATGATTACAGGGCATTCTTTTAACAGAGATTTAGGATGCAGTCCTGTGAGTGTTTCGATGGAAGGAAGCCCTCCAAGTTCCAGCTATGTCCAGGCAAGCGCCCTGCCTGTGGAAGCCTGGAGGCCACAGAGCCCCTTTCCCTCTAAACAGGCAAAGGATTGAGCCCGCAAGAGCTTGTCTTGGTTTGAGATCATACGGAGCCTCATAGCCCTGCAGGCATGCTCTGTGATCATGTCTTCTAAGAGTTAATTACCTGTCCCCATGAATAATCTTTGGGGCAGGAAAATAACATCGCTATTCTTATTTTTAATGTAAACTTGCTGTACATGCGTGTATTTTAATGCATTTACTTGCTGTGCAGCTGCCCAGAAGTTCCTGGATTAGGGCCACCCAGAGTTTCAGTCTTCATTTTAATATTTCAGCCAATCCTTGGACAAGAGCGTTGTGCAGGGTGGGGCTCAGAAAACCACTCGGCTTGTAAGAGAGCTTCAGTCTGTTTTCAGATCACCCGCAAACATGAGCTTGGCAGTGCTTTCGAAAACAGAATGAAATCCACTTGAATGCTCCTTGGGTTGAACGCATATTGATTGATTCTCGTCCTGTCGTGGCCAGGAATTCCCCTCTTAGGGATGTTCCAATGAGCATCACCCCAGGGACTCTGGCGGTGGTCACACGAAAGCACCATGCAACACAGTCATTCTTTCAAACCTTTCTGGATTTTGCTTGTCCCATCAAATAAAAAAATCCAATAGCCTTTTGCAGCCTTTTCCAGTTAGGAAAAGTGGCCTCGTACACCAATTAATCACTGTGGTTAATCCTTGTTGGGGAGATGTATATATGATACGCACAAAAATGAGTCCATTTCTTTGGAATCTGCTGGCTATGAAATTTGTCTCTCTTGTTCATTTCTTCTGGAGGACATCACTGGAGATTTCTGTGAAATGGATTACTTTTTCAGATCATTTTCTCAGCACCTGTCCTGGTGACCTGAACATTGGTGCTGAGGCCCTGGAGCTTTCCCATGCTGCCTACCAAAGCATGACATCCAGTCCACACACTCCGGCATTTTCCCTTTGCACAGTATTCCTTCTAGTCTCTTTGCAGCGGCTCTGTTCACCTAAAATTATTTGTCTGATTACAGCTGCTTACCTAGCAGTAGGTCAGTCCCATTCAACCCATTGGAGATTCCATCTGAGTAATCACAGGCAATCCTAAACACTGGCTAGCAGAGTAAGCCTTGTGGAGCTCAGTGGGACTTGCCTCGGAGTCAACCTGCTTTGGACTGCATGGCGAGGCTGCACCCCTCTGCAAGATTAGTTAGGAGCCAGCTGCCCCGAACCCACCTAGAAGAGGTCTGCTGGACCAGGCCCAAGCTCCGCGTTGTGGTGCATCTGGCTTCCCGGTGTGGCCAAGCGCCCAGAGTGGTTCAGGTGTCTCAAGAATGGATAAGAGAGCTGCATTTTGAAGGGCTGATTCCTGGTATCCCCAGGTAGGGCTGGAAAAATTCCTGCCTGAAACCTTGGAGAGCTATTGCTGCTGATCCGTGTCAATGGTAGAGGGCTGGATGGACCCATGGGGCTAGGTCAGGGGACGTAGCTCTGCTTGGTCTGCCCAGGCTCAATCTCTGGCTTCTTCAGGTAGGGCAGATCCTGGCTGAAATCCTGCAGAGCCATAGCTGCCGGCCAGTGTTCACAGAACTAGAGTAGATGGCTCAAGGGGTGATGCAGAATAAGGTGGGTCCCCACTGGTGTTCCCCACTATTGCACCGCAGCAGCCAATGTTTGGAAGACAATTAACTCTGCACGTGGAAGTTTCCTGGTGGACTTCTGGGTGAGTTTGTCCAATCCTCTTTTAATGCCACCTGTGTTAGGGGCCTTCTGATTGTGTTGATCTGGTTGGTGGCTTTTCTGCTTTTACAGAGAGAGAGAGGGTTTGTTGTTAGCCTCCTGTTCTGTTTCTTGTAGGGATTTCTTGTTTTGCATTCCGCGCTTAATACCAATGGCAAGCTGTAGATCCCTCCTTAAATGCAAAGAGAATCATGTCCATGCCCTGCCGGCCTCTGCCCGACCATTCCATCTTGCTTCCATCCATTTTTGCATCTGGTGAAGCAGCTTCCACCCAGGGTGGAAGCCAAGGGTAGGCATGGTGGGGCACTTACTAAGGGGTCCCACCCAGCAGGAACTCACTGACCACAGAATGTAGACTTGCTGAGTAAGGGTCCCATTGCTCAAGCACCCTCCAAGACCTGGATGCAGCACTGATTCCCTTCCAAAGCAACCTCCTCCCCACCACTTAAACATTTAAGGGTGTTGCAACATCATTTCTCTAATGATCCAGTCGTGACCTTACCTGAAGAAGTACCCTCTGTGAATGTCCGTAGCTCAGGGGCAGGGCCCACACTTTGCAGGGAGAGGGCCTCCAGGCTTAGTCCTTGTCCTGTCATGGCCTGTTGAAAAGGGTTTCAACAGCTGTTGAGAAGAACCTCTGCCTAGGCCCCAGGGAGAGGCTAGCCGTCAAAGCTGGCCAGCGCCAGGACTGCTGGAACTTTGTGACTGAGGCAGCTGGATGTGCCCAGGCCATACCTCTGCATAAGCGTGCCTGCCACATTCTGCTGAAAGTGCTAACTAGCTGTAGCTGGATTAGGGCCAGGCGACATAGCCAGTGCCTTGTTTGCAAGTAACACACAAGGGCCATTGGCTTGCTGCAGGGGAGAAATCGTGCATGGGCTTTTGGGTTGTTGCAGCTAAGTTCTTACCAAGCCTCTTTATGATTATGATTATTATTAGAACATTTCTATGCCGCCGCTTGCCACCAGGTCATCTCTGATTGTCCTGCACGATGTCCTGTCCTTGACAGTCCTGCTCAGATCTTGTACACTGAAGTCCATTTTGGTATTGGCTCATCTCGTGCTTGGTCTTCCTCTTCTTTTTCTGCCTTTGACTTCTCTTGGCGTGATTGTCTTCTCCAGTGACCTTTGGACCTCTTGATATTTGGGACCTTTGGAAACAACATTACAAGCCATGATGGTGTGGCAAAGCCATAACACAAAAAATGGCTTTTTATTCTGGTTTCTAAAGACCCATACCTCAACTGTGTTCAAACAACACAACGGACCAGCAGTGGTTAAAAAAAAAAAAAAAAGCCCATCATGGCTTGTTATGTTGTCTTTAATCCAGCCACTGTGACTCCATATGAGGACACAATGAGCCATTGCAAAGGGGAGTGGGGGCTTTTCACAGTAGAGGACATGACTGCAGCATTAGCATTGATCTAAGACTCAGCATCGATCCTGGTCAGCTTCTATATGTGGAATATCCCAGTGGGGCGGCGCCATCTTGCCCCTTAATTCAGGTAGCAAATTGCCTGAGGCTGATCCCACCTTAATTGCTGTGCTCTCCTCCTCTGGCATGGTCCCTCCCGTACAAAGGAAGCCAAATCTCTCCTTTTCACCTGGAGGCCAGTTCCCGCTTGCCACAGGTGAATAAGCAAGTGCCCACCACTATTATGCCTGCATTAAGTAGAGGTGACACCTTTTTCCAACATGTAAGATTGAACAAGCCTTCACATTGTAGGCAACTGTGATCTGCTGTCCGGCTCTGACTTTGGTCCTTGCTCTGCCCTTGTTCAGACTCTATTGCTCTGTGGTCCATTATGGCTTAGTCTTCCGACCTGGCCAGATTCTTAATTATCTCAGAGCTGGACACCCCTCTGATAAAATGCTTCCTCTCCACTCACATTTGGTATCCAGAATGGCTCTCTGCTATCCAGCCACTGCCAAGTCTGCTGCATTTCCTTTGACAGATGCCAAAATTCTGACCCAAACATTCATCACTTGGAGGTTAATTACTGTAATGCACTGTGCCATATGCTCCTCTTCTTGCCTAGCCTCGATCATTGGACGTGAAGCAAGAGAGTTGACCTGGATGCCACAGAGCCGACTTGCAGTAGTCACACTTGCCTATAAGACTGCAAGCTACAAACAGAACAGGAAATCAGAGCACAACATATTTCCTTTATGTTTAAACCAGGTGGAAGTCAAGAACTGGCTGTCCTGATTTTGTTTTCTGAAGTGATTTCAGGCTTGAGAAGATCTGCTTTGTTCTCCATTATTTGTGGATGGTCTGATCTCTCCACAAACTTACACTAAAATACATATTGACAAACAACTTTTAAAAAAGTAAATCCACCTTCTCCTTTTCAAGGCCTGCCTTTCATCTTTGCTAGAACTTATAGGAAAACTAAGTTCATCAAGTATATTTTGCTGTTTCTTAGGGTTAAATAGCAAAGCTTTTCACTTCTTGGGATTCTTTGAGATCCATGTAATTTCAAAACCCTTTCACTTGTGTGTTTTCTTACATACAAAATTAACTATGAAAGGTCAGTGGGGGTTGCTATTTTGTAGCTATAAGATAAACTTTGCAAGGAATTTGCTGAACATTATGCAGAGCTGGAGAACAGCGTCTTTCCCGTCAACCAGACTGATGCTTTGGCTTTGAATAGTGGTGCCGTCTTGCCTGAAACACAAGTGTAGTTTGCTTTTTACTTTCCAGCCACTGACCTTGATGGAGGCGAGGGTGGGGGAGATAAAGCTTAGATGATTCAGGGTGAGGAATCTTTTTAAAGAGTTTGTTTGGAAATAGCTTCGGAATTCAGGAGAGGATCTTTAAACAAATCTCATTTGTATTTGCAAATGGAATAGCAGTTGCCGGCGGAGTTTTTATTTTATGCACCACCCTTATGAACCCCGCAATATTGTACTGCAATGGTTTGGCACGAGCTCCTCTATGATTTTTGGGCAGGCATTCTCCCTTATCTTCCTTCCGTGCTGTTTTTAGAAAACTGGCTTGCCTTGGGTGAGGTTGAACACAGTTTAATTTTCTGTTCTGTCCATGCTTTACAAGAATAGCTGTGGCTCCCGTACACCAACATTTTCACATTCCGGGAGTTGCCATCCACATGGCTTGGAACACAATGTACCTTTAGCTCCTTGCAGTTGGAAGGGCTTCTGTCCCACTGATGGGGGCCAATAGGATTTAGGTGCACACAATGCTTCTGTTTAGTATGGCCAGAGGGCTGGGCTCTTGCACTGGCTCCATTCATTTCAGGAAGCCATTTTAGGAGACCTCCCTGAAGGAATGTACACCCCACTCACCCTCCCTGTGCCAGTCTTGTAACCTCAATTCAATACAGGCCTTTCTGCAGGATGCAAGATGTTGATCCTCTTAAAAATTACATTAATTCATGTCCTTCTTTATTATTGTTTTTCCAGGATCCAGCTGGAATATTTGAACTAGTACAAGTTGTTGGAAATGGAACATATGGGCAAGTCTACAAGGTATGGCATCTTTTTTTGGAGGAAAAAAAACCTTGACAACTGGGCTTGAGCTGAACATATGAATGTAATGTTGCCCTGGCCACGCTTCTCCTTTTCCTCCTTTCAAGCAGACAAGAACAAATGCTTTCTAACTAAAAGGATTTACTGTGTTAAAGCAGACCAGCCAGGCTGGTTTGGTAGTACGGAAGAAGAGAAGTCAGTAACAAAAACAGAGCAGAGCAGAGCAAAACCCCAAGCAGGGTCCCAATGCTGGCTGTTAGGAAAATGCAGCTTAATGATGAAAAGTGGATTCCAAACTGAAAGTGACAAACAGCAACTTTGGGGTGGATTCTGCAGTTAAGAGTCAATCAGTTGGCATGCCGAATGCTTCTGCAGCAGATGCCATACCCTGCAGTTAAAGATGCTAGCTTGTCTTCTTCCCACTCCGTTAGCATGCTCACCAAGCTTCCCCACCGTACCTGAAATGGACAGATTCTCAGAAGGTGCCGGGCTTATCTTGGAGTCCACTGGCCTTGCCTTTTCCAGTGTGGATTCTAACTCCCCCTCCTTGCCCGATCTAGAATCTGTCCACAGCACTTTTATTGGAAGAGGGGGCCCAGTCTCTACCAATATGTCCTCTATGTCTCGAGGCCAGGCAAGATTGCCTGCTCCTGTACGAGCCTCCTTCCTTTGGTGCTGCCAGCTCCAGCTGCACGTTGGCAGTGAGATGGGAGAGGGCCTTCTCAGTGGAACTCCCTGCCTGGGACGCTTGTGTGACTTCTCTTCTGTCCTTCTGCCAGGAGACACAAACAGTTCTTATTCACACACCCTTTGACGGATACGCTGGTCTGTTTGGTTCTGCTCTTTCTTTATCATGGTGTTTTTAGTTGCTTTTTGAGGCATTCCAGTAGTATCTCAGACAAGTTTTTGATTGTTGCTGAATTGTATAAGTTGATTGTAACCTGGGTGACCTTTTTTTTGGAGAAATGTAGGGTACAAAACAAATAGATGTTATGGCTAAACCTGTGACAGCTCACACCCCATTCTTTGGGGGAGGTTGTTTGCTGAACCAGAGAATCAGCCACGGCTTTGCAAACGACTTTGTGCTTTCTGTGTTTTGCTGTTCTGTCTAATATCAGAGGCTCATGACAAGACAGGGCTGCTGCACCATGGAAACAGCTGGGAACTTATACAAAGGAGTGCTACACAGATAGGAACCACAAACTGACAAGCAGCTGGAAGCTCTGGTTTCTTTGTTATGCTCCTGCAAACTCAACCTGTCTTTGGCTTTTAACTATGGTTATTGCCAATCATAGTTTAGGGTAGTGTCTGAATCGAACCAGTGAACCAGTTGCCCAGCAAGATAACAAGTCAGGAAGCCATGGTTAATTATAGCTTCTCTTTGTCACTTCTGAACAAGCCAGGATGTGGTCAGCAACTTTAAACCATGGCTTCTCTGTTCTGGTCTGCTAGGAACCCATTAGCCTTGTTTGCTGAGTTTGGACTTCACCAGAAGCTGCGGAAGTGATGCGGCTACATGCAAGCGCATGAAGCTCCTTCGCATCTCAGCTTATTGTGTCTTAATAGCCCAGATGTGTCCAGTGACCAGCACGAAAGGGCAGTTTAGGTATTTACACGGAATTCCATCTGTTCATGAATAAAGCAGCAGTGTGTGACACTAGCTTCCTTGCATTTTCACTTTGCCTCTTTGATTGAGGGGAACCTTCACTGTTTTGTTGATGTTTGTTTTCTAGTACTGTTTCTTGTAGTTACCCTTACAGTTTGAAGACGAAGTAACTGACTGGGCATGTCATGATGGGAATGTTTGTTAACCTTTGAGTGATACTCGGAGAGTGTTTTTAGTAGCATTGGGTCTGAGACTTCCTTCTTTTGTTGTCAGCACTGATTCTCTCAATTCCTCTGCTGAGCAGTGAGTTCCAAACAAGCAGCGGCCAAGGCTCCCGTCTTTCCCTTTTCTAGGAGCGGTTGCTGTCCGCACTGGAGCTCCAATTGCTCCGCATTGAGCCAAGGAAAATGAAGCTTCCCCTGTGTGGGCATCATTGGTGGTGTGGATGGCAGGAGCACCCGCATCTGCCCCAGTTTCCTACCCGAAGCTCCAGGCAGCTCCTGTAGAAAGTGCACTCCATGGCAGTGCTAGGCCAGCCCTGCTGTCGGGTTGGAGGAGATGGCCGCCTCAGACAGTAGAAGGTGGGAGGGCAGGGTGGCTTTCAAGCCGGTGGACTGGAATTAGGAGGAGGAGGAGCGAGAGGCCTAGGAACGTGGGTCAGCTCCAGACATGACATGAGAGAAGCAGAGGCACAAGACCAGAATCGCCAGGTGCTCAAGCAGCCTCTGAGAATAACTGAGACATGCTGTTAAGGGAAGTGGGCTTGGAACAGGGGAGTTTCTCCAAGACAGACGAGGTGGGTGCTGCTCTTGATCTCATGACAGGACATTGGCAGAGGAAGGTGGCCCAATTAGAAGATCAGCATGCAGCGGGGAGGCTTGCTTGTCTAGAAAAGGCCCATCCCAAAAGGATGGGACACAAACATTCCCATAAGGAGAATTCCAGCAAGTAAATGCTCGACTGGGTTCAACAGGCCACTCTGTGCATGCTCAGAGATTCCTTCTGGGCATTTGTACTTCTGGAAAATGCTTTGGCCAATAAAGAATGTTTTTCAAGAAAGGCCTGTGACTTTGAATGTGCAAAGGTAGGAAACCTAGCTCTTGACAGTAGACGTTCAGCAACAGTTCTCCGGTAGATGTCCAGCTCTTTAGCTTATGATGATATCTCCACCACCACCACAAGGGTTCCCTTTGATTTCTTTTGCCTCTAGCTGCCGGTCATGAAGGTCATGGTGGCTCTATGCTATGCTCCAGCATCAGAGGCAGCCTGCTGGAGAACATGGCTGGCAGGACCTGCTGCAAGGAATCCCAATAGGTGTCTGGTTAGCCACTGCGGAAGAACAAAAGGTTGATCGGATAGGCCTCTGGTGTGATCCTTCTAGTCCTGCAGATCAGAATGCCACTTTGCATTGGGGAGTGCCTGTAGTAGTTGATTCAGCATTAAACTTAAAGAAAAATGCATCTCACCACAGTGGGCAAGGGATGTGGGCCCAGATTTTCAATGGCCTTGGACAGTTCTATGGTTCCTACGGTTCCAGGGTTAGATTGGAAAGGTCTTCAAACAAAGGACACCTCCAGACCCTTAATTTGTACTCTGTAAATTAGGGCATTTGCCCTCCATTGCAGAGATCTCTCCCCAGTCATCTGCTGCCTGATCTTTTTTAACCGGAAGTGTCAGGACTGAGCTGGGATCTTCTGCATGCAAAGTGTGCATCCTGCCGTCAAGTTTCAGTTCTTTCTTCCCTCTGCAGGGCAATGGAGACACAGTAGCTCAGCTTTCTGGCAGTTTTCTGATGCTTTAAATCTGATAAACCCAAACTGATTAGTCTTGCAGGAGGTTTCCTGGGGCAGTAGAAGTTTGAATTGACAGCCATTGCCAAAGCAAGCTGTCAACATTAAACGTGGTTTTGTTTTTAATGGAGGTGCAATTTGAAAAAATAAAGAATTAATGTGGCACAGTTTGGAAGAGGTTGCAAGGCTGCGGCTCTCGGCTCTCGTCTGTTCATTACACATCTTTTCATGCTTGGCCCTGGCTTAGGAAGCAAGCTGAGCTGGGAGGAAGGTTGTGAACACCCGCAAACCCCCAATTGCACAGCCAGCAACCTTTCTCCGCATCACATGCAGCACAAACAAAGGCCGCAGGTCATGTGCTGCAAGAGAGACACTGCTTGTGCAGCATTTACAGACTCAGTTCCTGGTGGGCACCCATGTGCATGTATGGTGTGCTCAGATTCCTTTAGGTTGGATGCACGGGCCCGAGCAAGCAGACTGGAGCCCGGAGAGCCAAGCCAAGGGAATCCAATGGCTTCCCACCCTCAGCGCAGATTCCACACATATGCCTGGTATGGAATGGGTCCAGTATGCATCCAGTCCAGCCTTGCTGGACTCTTTCTTAACCTTCTCCTAACCATGCCCATCTGCACCCCAAGATCAGAGCAAATGCTGTACAGCTGAAAGGACAGGAGTCCTCCTTTGATCTTGCAAGGGAGCACCTGCGTTGGTTTTGCCCCATTTCTCTGCCCCTTCCCCGGCTCTCTTTTCCCCGTTCTCTTTTCAGAAAGTACTTTCTTTTGCCCATTTCTCATGGTTTTGAATTTGGCCTAAAATCACCCACAGGAGGGCCCAGGAGGAGTTCAGTCTCTTTTTCCAGAGCATAGGAAGGAGTTCATAAAGTTTGTTTTATTTATTTTGGGGGAGAGGGGGGAAGGTCAGAAAGCAGTGCGATGCATCACATGGCCTTGTTAAATTATGAAGTGTGAAAGCAGCCTATGCGCTGTGCAGAAAGCCCGAGCAGATGAGAGCGCCTTAGGCAATGACTTGAAGGCTAAATTTAAGAAATGTGTACCAAACAAGTACAGAAATTATTCTTTTAATGAGCATAGGCTGAAGGACAAATGAATTCTGCCATGGCTTTGAGATTCACGCATTTCGGATGCCTCTCCCCTCAGTAGTGCAGCTGGGAAATCTTAGACCATTGCTGGCTCCAGGTTTTTGAAGGGCCCCCAATAGGCCCTCTCTCTGAGTGAGTCTGCCTGCTCAGGGTCATCATCATGACCTGCTGTTCTTCCTTCTTCTCCTCTTTCCCATCATTGCTACTACTGCCTTGCTCAACTGGCAGAAAGCTGCTGAGCAAGTAGACATTGGCATCTCCTCTTCCTCCTCCTAGCCACCACCAGGCAAAGGTCTGATCAAGCAGGCTTCAGTGGGAAAGAACAGGAGCACTTCCAGGGGGCCCTTGCTGAGGTCTGGAACTTCAGCCATTGCCCAGCTATTCCTGCTCATGTCACTGAAGCCCTTCTTCCGTGACATTTAGCTGAGAGCTGGGGCTTATGCTCAGAGCCTTCACCTGGTCTACTAACCATAATCAGATTTTAACTGGAGATGGGAGGAACTGA